GGGAATATTTTGTTGAAACCATCAGAGTTCTTGATGAGGGAATACCATCAAGTACAGGAAAGCCTCTTCTGTTTCTGGAGGGGCAGAGCGATCATCGCATTCCCACACATGATCATTCACGGAGACTTACAGGGACATATAATAGGGCACTCCATTCTCCATGGAGGTTCAGGGTTGCATGCGCTTTCACCTACAGTCAAGAATTACCTCTCAACTGATGCTGATAGTGACAACCCTCCAACACTAAAAGTGGAAGACATCCCTACCATTGCGTTGCGGCAAATTGTTACTGAGGTATGTAGAAAAGACAGTGCTAACCTTACTACCAGACAGTTGAATACTGATAACTCAAACCTCCAAGGGTAATGTAAAAGAGGTTTGAGTTATCGTGAGTTTGAGTTTTTGGAAGATGAGGATAAGTTACCATGTAATTTACGTAATGTGTCTTTTGACTTAATCAGGTTTTAATGGTTATGTTAAAAAAATGAACAATATTTACAGACTGTATTTTTGGGTTCCTAGCATCGAACATTAAAGATAGTAATATTAAATTACTGTACAACAATTCGTGCAAAGACCGAGTGTGTCACTACAGGAAGAACATCTATAAAATGGTATTGGAAGGTCAAGTTGAACGTCTTGCTATTCACATTGATCTTTTGTCCCTAAATAAGCATCCTGGCTGATTCTATAACATTTGCCTGGAGTTTTCAAGGTTCTGGCTCTCCCTTGCTCATTGAGAGGGTTTTATCAGTTTAGTACCTTATTAGGATGATATACTTTGAACTTTTGTTTGGAACTTTCGATCGATGTATACCTGCCAACTCTCACGCCTTAGGCGCGAGTCTCACGCCGGCGGGTTGAAAACTTCGATCTAACGCCCGCTCACGCCTGCGGACCAATTTCTCACGCCTGATTGAAAAATGTGAGTTGTTGCCGTCTTGCTTGACACAATTTCCAAAAATATGTTAACTTAGACCCATGTAAGGAACGAAAACCATGTGTAAAATGAATAAATGACAATACCTTCCTCTCGATCTCTGATTTTGTGGATAAGCATTTTCTCGATAACTTCGCCTTCGGCAGACTTCGGACGTCTTCGGAAGACTTCGGACTTCTTCGGGAATCTTCGGAAATGATCGTGTCGTTTTCAAAAATCCCAGCACTCCCAGGATAAAAATCTCACGCCTACATCTCAGAAAAAGTTGGCAGGTATATTGATGTCAGTGTGTTTGCTCTTAGGTTGCTTGATATGCTGCCTATAGATGACAAACCCAGTACAGATCTTAAAACTGCCCTAGACCCGTACATGCTAGAAGCAGGTCTTGATCCGGATCAGCTAGAGAGTGTTATGACTTTCCACGTAATAGATAAACGTCGTCTTGCATTGGATGACATCATTAAAGGTAACAATAAGATTATGATCTTTTCTATTTTCCTATCCTAGTCAAATGTTTAAATTAGCTAGTATGCTCGCAGCAACACTAATCTTGACAGACTTTCCGTGTGCAGTTGGCCATGTAGGTGCTGAGGACTAGTATTATAAGTCAGAGAAGTCATGACAATTTTCAGCTTTTGCATAAATTATCATGGGCTAGTGGGCGATGATTTTCTAAATATGCAATACACAAGGTGAGTAACAATATTGTCCTCAAATAACCAGAACATGTCATGAAAATAACAAATGAGTCTTGCTCGCGCAACAGTCTGCACTTGCACAGGCAAGACAAGTTTGTGATTGTCAAGCACATTGCTTTATTTCATTTTACAATAACCATTTTTTTTGGGAGGGGAGGGAGGGAGAAGAGGAGGTATGTTACTGACAGTATTTGACACAAGCTATCAGGAATATCAACAAAATTCCTTTTTGTTTGCACCCCAGTGATTTCTTCATAAACAGGAATCCTAATTAATAAAAAAAAGAAGATGGAAAATCATTAGTATCAGAGCTTGCATAATAATTGCTCTTTCTACTGTAAACTGCTAGTTATGTATTTTTAACTGTTTTTACTTTTGCCTGATTAAGGGATGGAAGAAGTAAAGCTGCACAGCTTTCTTAAGAAGTACCCAAAACTGGTGCTCCATGTTTTCCCAACTGATGCAGAACGCGTTGTCAGTGGAAAGGAAATAAAAGATTCATTTTCATTTGAGGACAATTTAAATGAAGAACAACAACGAACTGTTGAATTCTTTAAAACCTACATTGATGATGTTGATGGTGTTGAAGGTAAAGCAAGGGGAGAATATGGATGATGGGTGGAATCCTGCTGTTAAAAGGGAGAAAAATGATCCCATCAACCAAGTTTCACAGATAACATACTATTTATAACAAAATAATTCAGAGGGATGCAGCTTAAGTCCCACATAGAGAAATTATGATTGAAACAATTCAAATGCTATGTATTAATCCAATTAGGATTTTCGACATTATTAAGGGTACCCTAATTCATTATTGACTTTCTCCACAATAAGGAACAATGAAGCCCAGACGTAAAAGGAT